CTACATTTAAAAACTACATTAGGTTACATTAAGAGAATGCAACTAGGTAATGAACAAAAATTATTTATTGCTGTACATTCTCACCAATGAACTAGCTCAAATATTTTTCATTATATGCTAGCATTAAATCATTTAAATCATTTTTTTATGAATGAATTGCATTTTCTTAATGAAAGGAATATAAAATAAATTTAATTACCAAGTTTTACAGTGCCATTTTCTGTTAGTAAGATGTTTCCAGCTTTTACATCTCGATGTATACGACCTAAAGAATGAAGATAATTAAGACCTCTCAAAACCCCATCACAAATAGCAGCAATTTCTTCTTCCATTAAAGGTCTTTTGTGTACTTCTATGATATCTGAGGCAGAACCCAGACAATATTCCATCACCAACTAAAATTTTAATTTTAATGTTCACACAATGTTAAAACGGAATAACTAAGTATATTTTATTACCCATGCTGTGTGATCTCTTAAAAAACATCCCTTGTATTGTATCGTGTTTGGATGTTTGAGATGTCTTAAAAACCTTATTTCTTTTAGTATGTCTTGCCATTTATCCATACTTTGTTTTCCTAAGTAGGACATTTTTTTAATGGCAACTATCTCCTTGTTTTCTACACATCTTGCATAATACACAGCACCAAAACTTCCATGACCAATTTCTCTTAAGTCTTCAAATATTTTATCTGGGTCATCTTTATCAAATAGCTCAGCTATTTCAGGATCTTTTAAACTTCCTGGCCTTGGAATCGCCGGCATTTTTAAATGGTGTATTATAAAAATACTTTTAAAAAATTAATGTATAATGAAAATTTTATACATAATAAAGTACCTGAAAAAATATAAATAATAGAAAATAAGTGATGGATATATTTTAATTGTGTTAGGTATATATTGTTTATTTATCATATACCTACTTATAAGTAATCTGAAAAATTAATGAAATATTAATAACTCATAAATTTATAATTTAATAAAATTTCATTAATAGCATTGATATTATTTTTTTATTTTTTTTGAATACAGCCAAAGAGTTATTATTATTTACTTATATTAACATTATGATTTACTATAAAGTAACAATAATGTATCATATTATATTATTTATTCATTTTAATAAGTTAAACCAATAAAAATAATTTGGTAAATTATATTAATCATACTATTATAACAAGGAGTTCAACAACTATAACCTCAAACAATCAATAAGATTGAAAATATTATTACTACCTATAGGATGCTATGATATATATATAATATATGCACTATGTTTATATAAGTATAAGTCTTAAGGTATTCTTAAGAATAATAATTAAAATAGTCACCCAATGCTAGCAGAGTTAAATGTGACTTGATTAACAATTAATATTGCATAGGATGGTGTGTTACTGACTACAGATGGTAAATTGATGTTAGTTTATAGTACTATAATACTATAAAGAATGCACTCATGAATATGGCATGTATCTCTTTCACTTAAATTAATTATTTATTCATGATGTCATTGCTGCTGATACTTTAATCACTAATAAAAGTAATAATTTCACTAAAAATATCTCAAATTTTAAATAAATCTTTTAAAATGTAATTAAAATAAATTTAATCTAACATTTTTAAACAAAAATCTATTAGATATGTAAAACTTTATAAAAATGTAATATAACTAAAATAATTTAAATTAAATTAATTCAATACATAAAAACTACAATTTTTTTAATGATATTTTATAATCTTAAAAAAAAAATCAGATGAATATAAATAATTAGATACATTTTAAGTTTATATATTTTTCTGTTTTGCCAAAATGTACCTGGCACAATTGTTGTTAAATTACTTCTAAAAGTCATTAATTAATTAATTATTATTAGAAACACCTACTTAAATTACATCAAATGAAAATAATAGTGATACAAAATGATATATTATTGTGATAATGTATCCATGTATAATATAAGTTCAAATAAATGGATGGTGTTCAAGTTGTATGTCTGCCGACTGTCATCATAAGTTAAGAAGTTAAAAGTACACATGGTTTTAACAAAAACTGTAGATGTAATAATTATTTAGTAAATTATGTTATAGTTTTATTATTATTTTTAATACAAAAAGTTTAGTAATTTTAAATCAAAGACTAATCATTTAAATTTGAATTTACATACATCAACATTTTTAAAAAAATTATCTGCTAAATAATTTAGTAATATATTAAAAGGGTGATACTTTAAATCTTTAAATTTAAGGGGTCTAAGGTGATCCCTTAAATGGAACAAAAATATTGTCATTAAGCAGGTATATTTAAAAATTACAAAAATTAGATTTTTAACAATTATATTATTAAAAATTAAAAGGTGTGAATATATTACTATACATTTTTACATAAAAAAAATAAAATAAATACACACCTTTACATAAACAAAAATACTCAAATGTTAATTTTTATTCTACAATGTTCCCATATAAAGCTATTGAGTGAACTAAGCGCAATCAATTTATTAGTAAAGAATAAATTTCATTAGAAACTGTTAAAGTAAAAAAATTATTATTTTTTAATAATTTTTACATATTAATGATATAAAATTTGAATGAAATAATTTAAAATAAACAAATTGAGAATAAGTTGGAATATTAAATTTTTTATAGTGTTGACTATAAGATATAAAAAAAAAATCAATATCAATACATATGCATTTATGCAAGTATAATAGGTATACTATCAGTTGATAAATTATGTTTATAACAAATGATAGTTTTTTTTTTTTAACTTAACATATTTAACTCTTGAAAACAATTTATATGCCAAATACGGTTTAAACATTTTCAACAATAGATAAGTTAATGAATTGTCATTGATTAATTAGACAATAGGTAGGTTTAACTGTTTACGAGTGTTATATAGAATTTACTGTTAATTGCTTGTGACAGAATATGCAGAAGTAGAAGTAAGAGGTATTTACGACTTATGATTGTGTTCAACTACAGAGTGTAAAAATAAAAAATAAACAATCAATATCAACAAAGTTTTATCCATCATTTAATCAGTTAGCACAACACATTTCAATACAACTGTTGCTATATAAAATATATAAATGGATACATACCCTATATGTGTGTATATATATATGAATAAATTAATATTATTTATTACAATTAAAAATTTAAAAAACGAAAAGTAGTTGATAGCTTTGGATTAAGTACATACTTGCGGTAATGTTTTCCATAGCAGACCCAAACGCTTTATTTTCTTCGTCATAGTAGTCTCTTGAAATCGATAACGCGTACGTTAGATAACGACAGAATAGGCAGACGACTTCTTCGTCGGTGTCGGTGTTACAGACAGCGTTTTAATATTGCATATTTTTATTCTGTGTTATATTATTATTACTAATATATACTACCGGACGGCTGATTCCGTTGAAAACCGATTCGTCATCCGTTTTCGATAGTGCAAATAGCGAATATGTGATATTATACACTGCATACGTACGGACTAAAGACAGAGACGGTCGAAAACACACACGCACACACACAGAGATAAGGTGTCGATAAACAGTCCGAAAATGTAATTAAAATTACAGTATAAAAAAAAAAAAAAATAATAATAATAGAAAAAAATGAAAAGAGTGAAAATTATTATTATTAATAAAAAATGGAACAGTGAACACGATCGATCCAGACTTTTTCGTCAATGAGCGAAAGCGCAGTGCGACCAACCCAACGGTGTCAATAGTCTTAATTGTATACAATTCTGCACTCTTTGCGGGTGGGTGTACATTAGAGAAGCGCCCTACGTTTGGGCAAATTTAAAATTTCAACTTAAACCCAATTTACGATATCAGACATCGAAAACTATGGTAGTATGGTTTGTGACACCTGTCTCTAGTCGTCAAGTATGTAAAGCACCTCATCACCCGATAGTTTGTTTCCACTGAACTGCGCATCCGTTAAATTAAACATATTTAAAATCAAAAAATTGTCTTCACAATGAAAATAAATGTGTTTTTAATATTAAAGTATTGAATCAATATTATTATTCCTATATTTTCCTTATATGTATGATGTAAAAATATTCAATATATGCACAAAGTTTAAACAATTTGTTTATCATTACACGAGTAATTAAAATTTTTTCTTAAGTATCTGTTATATTTTCTAAAAACCTTAATTTTTTATTTTTTCATAATACGTATAAAATTCAAAAAACAGTTAAGTTAAATTAAAAACATGGCCAATATGTATTTTTATTAAGCCAAACCAATTTACAATTACAACTCAAATGATAACATACTATGACATTTAAAAAAGTACAAATTGAATCAAAATTTTCAAATCCCAATAATGTAACTTATAAACTTCCTATAACAATTTAACATGGAAGCATTTACAAACAAATTGTTGAAATTAATTTTTAATAAAACAATTATATTTTATTAATTAAATTTAACATATATTTACATCAGTCAACTTAACTGTATATATTTTATCAATCATGCTTAAATCTAAAATATAATTAATACCACTTCTAATTTTTAATGCAATGATTGAATTCTATACTTCATCATTAGGAGTGTTACATCTGTATGTGTTGTTTTTGTCCTTCTATGTTCTAATGTATAACACATAAAATGTACAATCAACCATTTCAATTTCGTATTGCTAGTTTAAATATTTGAATGAATTGACTCATTATAAAAGTTAAAAGTTAAAACTTCTGTTCTCTTGTTGAATTTTTAGTTAAATTATGAGATTTTAAATATTAATATTAAAAAATGCTAGTAACTCCCTTATAAATTAAAATATAAAAATCCAAAACGAGTGCACAGATTATCTTCTTACCATTAAATTTTTATAATAGAATAATTTACTTACATATTGCTAACAGCACATAATTAGAATGACTTAACATATATTTTTATATATTATTCTGCATAAGAAAGACGAAGACAATACAATTAAACAGTACATAGTTTTAGGCCTGTGTTAATATAAAATAAAATATAATAATAAATTATATTTATTCACATTTTTCTTCAACATTTTCAATATGATCATCTATATCTTGTTCACTATTAATACTATTTCTGTCACAATTTTTATAAATTAAATTTTTTCTTTCATATCGTTGTCGATTTTTTTCTTTTCTCTTGCGTTTGATTTCTTGTTCTACTTCATCAGGATCTTTACCTTCATTAATTAATTTTTTTCTTTTGTTAATTAACCGTCGTTCATCAAAATCAGTTTCATCTAATTTTATCTGCGCTTCTCTTTTTGTAACATGTACTTGTGTTAAAATTTTGGCAACATGTAGTCCTATAATAAAGATGAAATAATAATTAAAAATTGTACAACTGATGAACTTTTAAAATAAATAGAAACAAAAATTAATTTAAAAGTGAGAATTTATAATAACATTTATTTAATAATGTGTGACCTTTTATATCATAATATATATAAATTTTAAATATTCACAAGAAATACAAAATAATATTTAAAATGGTTACCATTGAAATAATTTTTTATGTAATGTTTTTATAACTAATTGGTTTTATTCTAACTCCAAATTGATTGTATTTATTACTCTACTAATATTACATATAACAATAAATTATAACTAATTTTTATTGTCGTAGTATTAGATATCTATTTATGTTTTATTTTTATTTTTTTTTTTTGTTAAATTTTGAATGAATGATTAACTAAAAAACTCTATGATAATTAAATTATTTATTGTTTTTAAAAATTCATATGATATACTTTTTCCAATGAGAGAACATGCTGCAGTTGGATGAAACTTGGTTCTTTTATATATCCTTACATGATACTCTACTATCATGACCAGTTTTACTGTGACAGAATGTTATATGAAGATGTGCAGAATCTGACACAAAATTGGTTTTAGGAATTGAACTCAAATTTGAAATACTATACATTTGTAAAACAGGGACTACATAAATTAGTGTGATATATAAGATACTTGTCTAGTACAAGTCTTAATTAGATACATCACATTATTATACAGAATAATTCACTTTGGGAATAACTTTCTAAATTTTCTCATTTATCATTATAACATATCGTTTTTTTTTATTTTAAATACTTTAATAAAATATCTCAAAAATTTTAAAAACAAAAACCTTGTATAAAAATAAAATATACATTAAGTATTTACTGGAAAAAATGTACGATTTACCTGAGACGTCATATTCTTTTAATCGAATATTAATTTTCTGTTCAATCGCTTTTACTAATTTTATATCATGTTGAGTAACAATAGATACAGCACGGCCTTGTCTACCTGCTCTTGCAGTTCTTCCAACTCTATGAACGTAATCAGTAGCATTATTTGGTATTACATGGTTTATTACTAATGACACTGCAGGAATATCAAGACCACGACTGGCAACATCAGTGGCAATTAAAATTTTGGAAACATGAGATTTGAATTTTGCTAGTCCAGCTAATCTTTGACGTTGAGAAATCATTGCATGAAGTGATACTGTGTCAAATCCAACTTCATTTAATGTCATATGCAACAACTGGCAGTTTCTAAAAAATAACATATATTAATAAATAATATAATATATAATCAATTTATAAATATAAATATTATTGAAGTTTATGTTGATTTGATTAGGTATTGAAGCTAAAATTTACATTTTCTTTAAATGAGATAATTTGAAATTAATGTGGACTATCAATCTTAACTAGGAGTATGTGTCCAAATTTCACAACTTAATAAACTAAGTAAAATCCTTAAGGCAGTGGTGAAATTGGGAAAAAAAATCTTAGGGGGGAGGGGCTATATAATTTATTTACCGTAATAAAAGCTGTGAGCCCTTCCCCTATTTTGAGTATACTTTAATTATATATATTGTAAACAGTGTACCTAATTGTTTGATTTTACACAAGTCTTAAAACTCATTTTATGGTTTAAATAGAAACAAACTGTAGGTAGCAAATACTAGGTACTAATATCGTAAGTAATTTTAAAAGTTCATTAATAAAATTTACTACATTTAGTTTAAAAAACTAACTAGTATAAATATTATTTACACATATTTTATATTTACTAAATAAGTAATAATAACCAACGACTAATTTAACGACTTTATTCATTAAACAAAGTGTAGAAAGTAAATGAAAGAACAATTATTTTAATATTAATTTTCTATTACCTCCAGCTCCATTTGAAACAAATCCATCAATTACTTTATCAAAATCAATTATTGTTCAATTGAACAATGTCAACTGCTGTTTATTGTACATCTTTTTCTAAGATGTAATAAATTTCAAAAGAATAATGAATAAATATAAAGTAATAGAACAGTATAGTCTATATATAATATAAATTTTCAGTAAAACACTAAAATATATTATCATAGCATGATGTAATGTGGTAATAAGTTTAGATATGTAGGTGTAAATAAGACAAAATAATAATTATATAATCAGCTTTTATTATTGTAATTTGTTATTGATCTAAAACTAACATCCCGTTCCTGCAGTCATAAACAAAATTTCAAGACAATAATATCAAATTGGGTTCATACTTCATGCAATGTCATAATGATAATATTATTATTGGATTATTTTTCTTTCTAACCTAACTAATGTGATTATTGCAATACGTGTGAATATATTCAACACGAGGAACCTAAATTAAATGTAAAATTTTATATGAAATAATTTGAAGAAAAATAATTTTATCTTATAACATATTATATATTATATTTTTTCTTAACTTAAAATTATTAAAATATTTATACTATTAGATTCTCTGAAAGAAGGGCAAAATGATACCTTTGTCTTTCACAAAATTGTCAGGAGGGAGGTTCCCCCATTGTTATGCCACTGCCTGTCTTAAGGAATGCTTTATCTACTGCATCTAGATAAACTATGCAACCTAAATAAAGATCAAAAGAATGAATGAACTAATAGTTGACGCTAAATACAGCAAAAAAATCCTACCTTTAATTTTACAGTTAAAATATTTATTAAATGTAAGATATAACTACATTAGATTAATATCATGAAAGTTTTTAAGAAAACTTTATTGTATCATATATTTGTACTTACTTGCATGTATCAGTGAATATCATAATCAGTCCTTTTTCATCTTTTTCACGGAAATTTCTAACTATTTCTACTAAATATCCATCCTTTACATTATATGGACAAAGCACATAAAATTGTTCCAGTTCATCAACTGTTTTCACTTCAGCAGTTGATTCATACACATAAGTATAAAAATATATAAAAATGTTTTATCAAATCAATATTATTGCTTATAAGATTATGTATAAAAATAAAACTATATTACAAAAATTTAATAAAGTAATAGATTAACATCATAACTTATACTGATATTATTAAGCTTAATTAAATATTGAAGGACAGAAATGTAAATAAAAAAAAAAATAATAAATTTTTTGATATTTTTCATACTTTTTGTTTAGGAAAATAAATACAAATTAACATAGGTATATCTATTCAAACAAATATATATATATGTTGTTTCTTTAAGTGTATATATAGTAATAATCTTCAAATAATTTGATTTTAAAAAAGTACTGATTTTTTACTATTGGACAAAAAGTCTAGAAATATAAATTATTCAAATTCCACAAATGTCACCATAAAAGTATAAATCAATTTCAAACTATATCTTGACTTTTTGTAATTAACAATTGTCATTTTATAAATATAAAAAAAATAAAATATTGTTTACAAATATTAAATAAACATTTTAATAATTTTTTTTTTATTATTTTAAATTTGCAAATTAATTAATTTGTATTTTCAGACATTCTAACCACTTAACAATAACAAAAAGTCTAGACTTTTTGTCCAGAATTAATTTACAGTATACTCAATGTAAATTTCAACACTTAACAATACTATAAAACATAAAAGCACCAGTATTATGACTTAATTTTATAATTTTAAATATTGTCTATAATTGAAAAGATGCTATTAACAATGTATATTTTTTATTTTGTCAATCATTATTATAGTTTAGCTGTGTATAAGAAATCAATAGCCATGTAAATATAAAATTTTACATGTTTTTGCACAAACTGTAGATAGCAAACTGAATATTATTTATCTAAAATTATAATTTACAGATCATTTGTCTTTTATGACACATAAAAATACAGTGTATACATTGATTAAATAAACTTGTATATTTAATAAATGGTATACACTATTAATAATTGATACAATTGTCAAATTAATTTTTTTTAAATATGGCAAATAATTATACAATTTACAATATTATAATATAAAACTAATAATACAATATAATATATAGTTATTATATATACAATAAGAATATTAATTTATATTAAATTAACTTACATTTTTTTTTTGTAATCATTTTCACTTTTTCGAGAGTATCAGTCATGGTGGCACTAAATAATAAAGTTTGTCTATCTTTCGGAAGAGCGCTAAAAATAGTAGTAATTTGTTTATCAAATTTACCACCTAATAATCTATCTGCTTCATCTAATACTAGAAATTTAATACGTTTCAATGAAAATGTATCACAGCTTTCCAAATGATCGGCAAGTCTAAATAAAATGTAAAATAAAATGAATGTATTTTATTCATAGAATATAGGTATGTGTATGTAGATACCTTCCAGGTGTTGCAACCACTATATGAGGTTTTTTTGATAATTCTCGTGCTTGGACTATCATTTCCATTCCACCTGTAACTACACAATGTCTAAGATTCTTAGGTTTACCAATTACAGCAAATTGATCTGCAATCTACAAAATTGAATGAATACATTATTTAATATGTATCTAGACTTAATAACCTAAACTAAAAAATGTTAACAATAAATTTACTTGATAAGCTAATTCTCTAGTAGGTGTAAGAATAAGAGCAAATATTCCATAAGGATCTTCCCAAAGTTTTTGAAGAATAGGTAAAGCAAAAGCTAATGTTTTACCACTTCCAGTTTTAGCACAACCTATACAGTCAATTCCATCTAATATTTTTGGTATACAATTTTTTTGAATTTCAGTTGGTGATTTGACGCCTGAATTTATATAGAATAAACATTATTATTTAAACAAAAATATTTGTATACACATAATTTGTTATAAGTATTATAAATTATAATATAAATAATTTATAATGTGTGTAGTGCTACATACTTTGATATTGAATACAATCAATATACAGTGAAATAGAATCACACATTACAATAAATAATAGGGAAAGAAAAATACAACAATACATGCTTTAAAGGATAAATCTGATGTCCAGCATTTTTCAATATATATAAAAGTCATTTTAGATACGATCAACAGCAATCTAAGTTGTAACTTGTACTTTTATTTAATTTAAAATGCACTTTACGTAGAAATAATACAACTCATCTTTTTAAATATAAACAACTACAGGATAGTTGTAACTACATAAATAGATTTGCATATAATTGTAACTCTAAAAATTTAGCATGGATTCTAAAGCATCTGATTTATCAATTAGAAATACAATCATCACATAAAAACATGTACCATGCACCAATTCACATCAATTGACCAATTACAATCTATAGAAGAGTAAGGATAGAATAAATAGGAGCTTAAGATAATCAATATTCAGACATGAAAAATCAAAGCAAGCTAAAAATTAGAGTACTTTCACATCAATCAGTTTTTATTTCAATAATAATTGGACTTGAAAGAATTTCAAGTTTAATTTCATTATAATAAAATATTAAGCTGGATTGTATTTTCTTTGGATTGAATATTTACATTCAAAAATATAAAAACTAAGAATATGTTCTAAAGTATTTCAATGAGTAATTAAAAATACTTATGCACTTTTTACTACAACAGACAACTTCCTATTTCTTTCCACGATTGTCAGTAATCACATATATGAACGTTACTGTAAAATGAATAGGTACTCACCAACCGCATTAAGCTGATCGCACAAGTATTTTGATAAATTTAAGTTTTGAAAATTCATGATTAACAATGAAATGTTTAAAATTTAATAATGAATTATATCTTTACACTTCTAATTTCTATAGACCTCATTAATCATTATGAGCACGTGCAGTGTACTCTAACATCTGAAAAATGTAATCAGTAAATACCACAATTCGTGGCTGTTATCTGAAAAAAAGATAAGGACACTAATGAAATGATAAAAGTAAAAAATTGAAAAAATACTACCAACAGTAAAGTTGTTATTGTAACTTAACTGATTTATAAATAATAAATAAATAAATTCAATTACATATTTCAATTATATAATCATTAAATAATTATAATATTTTTATTGATTTATGTTACTTATATAATTTATTTTATTATAATAAAAGGTTATTAAAAAGGTTATTGGTTTTAATCATATGTTTTGAATGTTTTGATTCAAAACTACAATCTACGTTTTTGCAGTTTTATTAGAAACAAGTAACAACGCTTTTGTAAACTTTTAGATTATTTTAATACTTACTTAATAAGTTTTGCTCGCTTCACACTAAATTACAAAACTGATTTTGGTAATTAATTATTTAAAATATAGTAATTTAGTATTTATACGGATTGTAGTATTCTGAATACGATGTTTATAAGTATTCAAAATACTTTTAGAATATTGTTGTGATCAAGAGCACCCATAGAAAAATTCTCATGGGGGGAAAAAATTTTAATTATGTCTATAAGATAGGAAGGGGCTTACAATTTAACATTATATTATTAGATTTTATATATCAAACTGGAATATTATGAAATAATAATTATTTAACCAATTAACCATAAAAGTAATTTATTGAATTTTTATTTGATTAATAAAGTACATACATTTATATTAAAATATTAATTTACAAATAAAAATTATAAATTTCTTTTTTTAACACCAAACATATTTATTACTTATTCTATGTATTCATTTGTTTCATCATCAATTTTTCCCTAGATAGATACGCTTATCATCCATCAAGTCTATCTTCACTCATTGTAGATCTCGTGTAAACAATTTTTCAACATTTTCGACATTTTACAGGGGGACCCCCCCCCCCCCAATTATGGGCACCCTTGGTATAGTGATGTCATTGAAGAGGAAATTATTTTTATGCTGTGGATGGTAGGTATACTAAGTACATACTTAGGGAGTAAGTGAATATGTTGAAGCTTTGGATGGGTGAATTTTGTATTTGATTAAGGTCTGTGATTGTACCTATGGCTTCTGTTATGTATATGAAGTTTTGGGTACTTGTTTGATATAGCCCCGCCAGTACGTCGTAAAAATTTATCATCCCACCATAAATAAAATAAATAATATAATAAATAATAGGTATATATTATTAATTATACAAGAAATGCATAAGTATAGGTACCTAAGTATATAGGTATAATTAATGTTTATTTTATCATAATTATTATAATAGAGATTGGAGGCAAGAACTTAGATATATCCTTTAAGATGGTTTTCAAATGCATCTAGTTCTCCGAGACTAAAAATGGGACAAAATTTTGTGGTCAATTGGAGTAATTATCTATATTATTGTTACTTATTATAAAAAAATTAAATAAAACCAGGCTTAATAATTTTGTTAGATTTTTGAAAAGCTCAAGAGGTTGGTCAAACACTCAAACATCGAGAAGTTGTGGGATTCTGCTGAACGAGGAAATAAAAAGCGTCAGAGATTTTTATTATGTTATAATTTTTTTTATAATAGGTAGGTAACAATAATACAGATTATTACTCCAATCGACCACAGGATTTTGTCCCATTTTTAGCTAAATATGATGATTGCATGTAGTATGAACAATAACGGTACAACTAATGTCAGAGAACAAAAGAAATTTTATGAAATCGTACTTGGCAAAAATGTAATCAGGAGAACACATTTCAGAGAACAAGACGCATTTGAATTTGAAACCATCTTAAAATATACATCTGAGTTCTTGCCCCCAACCTCTATTATAATTAAGATCAACTATACATATATTATACCAATATACTTATGTATTTCTTGTATTATTAATAATATATATTATTTATTTATTTTATTTATGGCAGGGTAATAGCAAACAAGTACCGAGTTTTGATTTGTTAGATAGTTTATAGAATTTGTTTAGATTTTTAGATATTACTATAGGTACATCTATACGATGTTGACGCTATATTCAACTTTTAGTGCGTAGTATCTTCTCTCTGAAGGGTGTTCTTGAACTTGTGAAACAAATTTAGATAAATTTCTAAAGCTGAATTGACTTTTTTGTACATATCAAGTTCTATGTTTCTGTTGATCTTAGTAGACCATGGTGATGTTTATACGTTATTATGTTAAAGAGTACTTTAGTTTGTATTTATTTACTATTTTTGAAATATGCTTTACTGCTTTAGTATTAGTAATTCTTTGTTATTTTTCGATTAATTTTCTGCAAAAGTGAGAGAAATTTTTATTCTTCTGATCCTGTGAAGAGGTTTATTTGTGATTACCTAGGTATATAAAGACTTTCAACTGATTTGAATTTGAACACACCTGTAGCGGTTGTAGCTAAACGTAGGTTTGTTTCGTGAATTAGGTTGATAATTAATAATTATTAATATGTGTTTTTCTGCTGAGGATCATACTGCTACCCCGTATTCTAATTTGAATCTTATTATTGTTTTGTATATGTCTAAAAGCTTCAAATTGCGTGTGATAATATTTTTATGACGTTGAATTTTAATTCTTAATGCTGTTTATTTATTTATTTATTTATTTTTTCTTAATATGATGTTTTCATGAGTATTTTTTGTCAAACGTGGTCTTGAGGATTTTACAATATTTTTGTCATGCATTATTTGGTCATTATCGTTTTAAAACTATAGGGAGGTTTTTTTTTTTTTTTTGAGAAAAAAAATACATTGGGATTCATTAGAGGAAAAGTTAAAACCTGTTTCATTAGACCATTTTGTGATATTGTTTATTTAGAGTAAATTATATATTATATTTTTATGTTAGATTCTAAGGAAAATATTTAAGTCATGTGCAAATAAAGTGTATTTAATGGGGCTAGTGATTGAGTTAGAGTTATCGTTTATGGCCAATATAAATATTGTTATAGATAGGCTAAACTCTTGTGGAATTCCGTTTTCTTGAAGAAATATTTTTAAAGTTACATTGCTTGATATGCCGTGATGTCATGGAAATATAGAATGTTCTAGTTTTTAGAAAGTTTTTGATGAAATTTAGGAGGTTTCCGTTGCTCAATATTGTAGGTACTTAGTTTAGATATTATTCTACGTTTCCATGTAATTGAAATTTCGAAGGCTTTATTAATGTCAAGACTTATCAGACACATCGATCGATTTTCGTTAAATGCTTTGCTGATTTCGGTTTGAATGTATACTGATGTCTTGATTTATTTTGATGGAATTGGTTTTGGAAGATTAAACGGTAATTCAACTAGTTATTCAGGGTTTTCATTGAAGTTAGTTAGATTTTTAATTTGTATTCCGTTTTTAGTTATTTCGGTATTTAATTCCCATGGCAACTTGGGTTTTTTAGATTCCATTTAATTATGGTAGAGTTGATTTTAGAGTCGCGTTTTCTTGGTATAGTTGCGCAATATATATTGAAATATGGTCACTACTGTATGTCTCTGTATCGACTTTCCAAGATAAATGATAGGCTAAAGCTGAGTTTGAAAATGGTAAGTCGAAAGCTGAGAAAGAACCGTTGTGTAATTTACTCGTGTATTATTGTTTCCTTTATTTAAAAGAATTATGTTTTCGTATTTTATTATTGTAGTAAAGCAAAATAATAGAACGTGTGCGTAAAATATATGTAGATACAACACATACACATTTATTTATTACCTTTATATATATATATGTGTATATACTATATACGCGAGCATATAATAAATTTACTAACTTAAATACAACTGGAGACTCACTGATTATTAGCTGAATCAATGAGTAGAATATAGATTTGATTTATTTATAATTTAACATTTATTATGTTACACTACTTGTTACGTATGAGCACAAACGGAGGCTTAGGCACATAAGGTGAGCGAGTCTGCACTCTGTAAGTTTCAGTGAATGGTCGATGGGTACGGTCCGATTGAATAACACATTTTTATTTATATTAAGGAATAAAGATATACATATTACTATTAGTCACAGATGATTATATTATAATACGAGTACATATAAGCAGTGGCGTCGAGTCAATAAATTTAAGTGAAGCAAAATCAAAATATTTACATACCTACCCACCCTTGCTAAAGATATTGTCTTCCTCTAATAACTAATAACTTTATTTATTTATTTAGTATAAGTATTATGTAATGTAAAAACAAAAACACATATACGATAAATCCACCCATCCTCTTTATTATATATGAAGCGATCGCTTCAGTGTATGTTCGGCGCCACTGCATATCGCAAACGATTTTAAAGTCGATCGTGCTAGAATTTGTTTTTAGGCTGCGCTCACGAAAATTAATTATGGTGGTATAGTAACTTAATAATAATAAAAACTTTTTTATCGAAGTCGATCCTCAAAGGTGAAATATATTTTTAGTAGATCGCCGAAAAAAGTTTGACCGTCCCTGGCATATAGGAATCTGTGTGGATGTGTATACACTGAGATTCTGATGATGACACCCTTTTTAGTCATTGACTACGAAGGAAGGTCATTATTAAATTATTCTTTCTATAATTTTACCACTTGTGTCAATTGATTTAGATCCCCATATCTCATTATAACTATTTAAGTAAACAATGACTATGTACAGTGTTGGAAGTTGGTTGATTGTTTGAACAAGGTCATTATTGTTAGAATTAGTTTGATTTGATATGTATATATTGCAGACTGCAGTTAGTAATTTTTTTTTTCTTGTATTGTTATTGCAGTTGTTTCTAGATTAGTTATTAAGTTGATTTGAGTAATATAGAAAGATTTCTGTAAATGACCGATTTTGAGATAAAATTTGATTATTTGAAAGTGTAGCGAAAAGAGAAAATTATTATTTAACTAAAAGCTCGTCTTACCATAGGTACGTAAACTAAAACAAGAGATAAATATATAAATACTCCGAGATGAAATTGTTTAGAACTATACATTAACATTTAGTCGAATGACGATTAAATATCGGGTGAGACTACAAATGGCACCCATAAACGATATGATCATGACTTCATGAGTTTTAACACGCATAATTGAACCAACACTAATTTTTAAATGTATATTATTAATTAGTATAATATATACAATATATATATATATGTATATATTTATTTATTTATCACATTGTACACAGGTATTTACAACATGTCTATGGGCTACTTGTAATATCGCTAAAACGACAATTATTAAACATTATAAATTATAATTATGTATAGATCAGTGGTTCTTAACCTTTTTACCATGGTCCGTGGCGACCTAGAAATGAGTATTCAATTATTTAGTAACGTCTAAATATAGATATATTTTATACATACTTATGTGAATATTTTATATTTATTTTACATATCATGTCGGTGATTTAAAAAAAATAGTTAGCTAGGTACCTCTAAAAGGGCCACATTTACTCTTACATACTTTCTTCAAATTACTATAAAAAATTTAAATTACTTAGGTATTTCAATGTTTGAATTTATAAAACTTATCTATTTTTCCATGTAATAAGAAATTTATTTTGATACTTTGAATGAAGAAATTAATTTATTTGTGTTATCCAGTTAATTAAATTATTTACTTACACAAATTATGTGTAACAGAATTTTGAAAGTTTTTGACTATTTTCACATTTCCTTTGAATATGCCGTTGTGATTGTGTTTGTTTTCATTCTTTGTATTTAAGTTATATAAAATTCTTAAAACAAAATAAGAAACAAAAACGAATTGTATATATTTTAAATTTAGAAGTCAATCAAAGAGAAGAATGAAAAACTTTAATAAAATGTTATGTGATTTTTTTTCAAATTGAATGAATATAGTTATTATTTGGTATACGATGGCAGATGCAAAAAGATAAATTTTCTACATCATACTTTGATTGTAACTGCGACCATAATTTAACCCATTAAACCAAGTATTGAAGTATGACGTATGTTCCCTAGCAATATTTGATAAGCATAACAAGGGTTCCCAAACACGACTATAATCAACAAAAATTACAAAACAGTCATAGACCGACAGATGGCGCACGATTATAGCACAACCACCAACTAAAAAAGTAGCAAAAACC